TTCGTAGCATTTGTGGAAAAGGCTTTGTGGTCGGGATCGCCTTGTCGAGAGCGCACATGAGGGCATGTGCATTGGAGCCGCTCCTCAAACAAGAGATTAGAAACACCAAGTAGCAGATGCCATCGTAATCGATATGCACCTTGAACAACATGTCTAAGTCTACTGGACTGGAGTTGAAACGTTGTCTTGTATCTGCCTGAAGCAGGACATGATCCCAGAATGGGAGGGCGAGGGTGATGCCCACGACATCTGGAGGGGTGCTGATGTGTGCTTGCCTTGAGCTGACCTCCGGATGTGCGCGCGTGTGTGTGTTGCATGTCTCTCCTTGCACCCACGAAATCCCTGAAATTGTTTGTGCTGCTGCAGGAGCACTCGAGAGCGTGCAGACACTGCAGAGATTGCAAGCCAGTCCGAACGGTCCAGAGAGACCAAAGCAAGGAGCCATGACAGCAACTAACGGTTAACTTTTTTTCGACAAATAAGCCTGCCTTTGGCAACTGTAAGAAGTGACGAAGAAGTCTGCACTGCTGATTTTGCCTGTTCGGTATCTTCCGCACGCTCCCTTTCGGAACGTGTTCATTGACCATGAAAGACCTTTCTACATCCCTAGGAGCATGACCTCAAAGTGAGCATGTGTTGTTTGCAGCATTGCCTTTTGGTCCGCCGTGGGAGAAGTCGCTTGATCCTTCCTTCCAGCGACCGCATCGATGGCGGTATTCATCGTGATAAAGGAAGTGCTCGGAGCCCCCTGTGTGTGAGTGTCCTTCATCCTGGAGCCTAGACTCTACACGAGCCTGAGATACCCGAAGCTTGAAACCCGCAACCAAGGAGCCCCAGCAGCGACTGCGCCGGTTGCAATGTCGCTCAGGATGACGTGGCAGCCAACCTGGCCGAAGCGCACAAAGACGAAGGTCGAGCAAGCATTCCATGAGCATAACTTGAAGGGCCTTCCCAACCCCTCCGCCAAGAGAAAACCCGGAGGTGTGCCTTTGCGCACGGAGCTTAGCAGCTTAGCAGCTTAGCATGTCAGAAAACCCCACACTCCAGCCGGAATCAACCGGAGCTTCGGCAGGCCACGAGCTCCATGGCATGCTGGCCAAGCACGGCAAGCTGCTGACAGAGGCCCTCGAGGCTGTCCAGGCAAGGCTCCCAGCGGGCAGGTGATTGTAGATGTAGACCTCCACGTCACTTTCTGCGGCGAGGCATTTACGCAGTCTGCCGCAACCAAGTCGCCCGGCAAGGCCGGATACCCGTTGGGCCCGTTGGGGCGTTATGGCGCAATGCACGGTTTTGAGCCTTTAGGGCATTGGTCCGTCAAAGGGCTTTCTGGACGTGGTTCCTGAGAGGCCTCGAGGCTGACCAGCGTGATGCTGCAGCTGCAGCGTGCTAATGTCGATGTGCTGAGTGCTCTTTTGCAAGAAAATTCACAGTTAACGCCTGAGCCTGAGCCGGCTTTAAAGAAGCCGGCGGATAGTGCAGTTATTGATGTGCAGTAGCAGCTTTCAACCAACTCTAGACATCCTTCTCGGAAATTGTAAATTGGAGGTCTTCTCCATCGTTTCACTGCAGTGAGAAGGATTGTATACAGTGGCCTCGCCGCCAAGAATGCGCCTTTGGCCTTTGCCTTCTCCAAGCTCACATGTACGTACCTGTGTCTTCAACAATTCTAATTCTCGAATGCCTATCAGTCAAGCGTCGGATATTTCATGCCCACCATACAACTCATATACCATCTTAATTGTACCTGATGTCTTGCATCGGTTACCGAATATCTGTACTTATACCTACATGGGCATCTTGTTTACATCTGTGCCAATTTCTACATCAGAATATTTGCATATCAAGTTTACATGTGCCTGCGCTGTAAGTATGTAAAGGGGTCCCCGAATAGATGGCGACCGGGAAGAGACAACTTTATTATGCCATCTTAGTCGCCGCAAAGGTGGCTCAAAGCTTGTATCCAGATTCCATAGAAGTACCGGTGCAATTGATGGCATGTGAGAACCCCAAACTAGATAGAATCGTCGATACCCTCCTCTCCGATTACTTTCCCAGATGTGCCATCTATTTGCTAGGGTTTTGGGATTTGGGGCAGGAAGGCTGCACGGATTTATGGTGTGGGGTGTGGGCTTTTGGGCTTGAGGCTCGGGTTTGGAGAGGCTGCAAAGCTGTTGGGTTCGGGGTGTGAGCTTCTGGGCTTCAGGCTCTGGTTTGGAGAGTGGGTAGTGGATTTGGGGCATGGGTTTGGGTTTTTCTGGGGCATAGGTTTCCGTCCCACCCGCTCCTTCCCTCTTCCTTTGCCTTCCACATGTGCTATCTATTTGCTCGGGGTTTGGGTTTGGGGGTGTGGGTTTTTCGGCTTGAGGCTCGGGTTTGGAGATTGGGTGGTGTATATAGGTTGCGGTCCCACCCGCTGCCTCCCTCTTCCTCTTCCGTGGTTGTTCTCTCCGTCCCTGTCACATGCCGTGTTCGCGACCTGGTGTCATCGAGCGGTTCACTTTGCACGAAGGCTAATACAAAAAAGCCGATGACGGAACTCAGCCGCCATGCATCGGCGAGCCGCGAATGGGGCATGAAAGATGCAAAATTCCAGAGTGTATGTTGGCAGAGTGAGAGGGAAATATGTATTGCTTTGGGATGCCATCTTTTCTGCCGGTTTGAGGGTCCGCGGGAGGTCCCGAACATGCATGTGTTGAGCCCTCCCCCTTGTGCCATTTCCCGGTTGCGAAAACCGTATGGGATCAATATGGGTGCCCCTAAATGTACATCACCGTTATACACGCACGTTCATGTTGCATTAGCTTTGTTACCTTCACGCTATGTTACCTTCTGTTCTGTTCCGTTCTGCTGTGCTCTGTTCTGTTACAATATGTTGTGTGATCTCACATTGCGTTCAGTTTTGTTATGTTGGTTTATGTCATGTTTTGCCATGCGCTTATTCGCCCTTAAGGAGTTAAGGCAAAAGGCGGCCCACCAGCCCCGGCAGCCGAAGCTCTCGATCGCAGGCCCGCAAGGGACTGCCTTAAAGGCATTCCTTTCGCCTGCGCCGACGGGTCCCAGAAAAAGGGGAAGCTTCGGACAATCGTACGCAGAAAAGAGAGACCGCTGGGGCACCTTGCAGGGCAACCAAGGCGTGGCCTGATTCTGAATGGGTCATAAATTCTGCCTCCTGGCCCCCTACATCCCCCTGATAACGCCTCGGCTTGCCAGCAAGCCTCAGCAAGCCCTATCCTTTCGTTTCTTTGTTGCATAGCACGCCTTTGGCCAGGACCTCGCAGTGAACGGCGAAGAGCTGTACTTGTCGGCCGCACGTTGAAAAGGAAACAAAACTGGCTTTGCCTGCAATTTACTCCGCGTTGTTTTGCCAGGGCCGCATCTTCCCCACCAAGGAATTGCTCGTCTGTACTAATCTCTGGGCCGTGCAAATGACCAGGGTACAGCGAGAAGTTTGGTATGCTTGAGGTTTTCTGCTTTCGCCTCTTTGGTGCGATTGCTCTTTGCGCCCCCGCTCCGTCTTCCTGCAGCTGTCCTCTCGCCTCCTCCGCAAGCAGAGGTAGAACGCACGACAAAAGAACACCCCACCCCCACCCCCCCCCAGACATGGTATTTACTGACCCACTATTGCCACTGTCTCGCCATTCTGATGTCTTGGTGCAGTTTCATGGCCTGTGCTGAAAAAGCAGGCCTTCAAAGGGATTGGGTACCTGCAGCACAAATGTGACAACGCATCAAACACCAACAACCTTTTTTTGTGCAGTTAGGGAACCGGCAATGCCACCGAGAGGGAGGGCCCGGAAGCCGGCGGGGAGCCCACACGGCGATCCATGGTACGGCCAAAGAACTTCTTCCTGCCGTCTGGAACGCCCTTGTGCCAGTCGACTCTGGCATGCTGCTGGCCAAAAAGAAGGCGAAGTGAGCCTTCAGCTCACTCGCAACTACAACCGGCACTGGTCGAGGAAACAAGCAGTAGATGAATTTGTGCAAAACTGGGTTGACCAGATAGACAAAACCGGAAAAGGCAATTGCTTGCATTGGCGAGCCGCTGAAGAGCACGTGTGGTGGTTTCATTGTCGTCATGGAGCAAGAGAGTGTTGGATAGCGGCTCTACTCGACTTGTCCCACGGTGACCCAGGAGGCGAAACAGGAACTATCTTGGGCACACTCCTGTTTGACGAGGAAGCGGGAATTCTGGAATTGGCAAATTACGAAGCCATTCTGCCGGTGCGCTGCTTCTTGCTGGGCTATTCAGGCGCAGACAAAGCCAGCGCGGCAAGCGACACACGGGGTAAGTTCGGTGATGGGTTGCCTTCCTCAACGATTCGGTTGGTGGCTGATGGCGTCAGCATCTGCGTTTGGACAGGAAGTCAGAAGTATAGCAACTTCGGCTTCAAAATGGACCCAAACTTTTCGCACGAGTGTTTGCACATGTGGGTTAGCCATCCACCACGGCTTCTCGGACCCCGCACTTGGCAGCTCACTGTAGATCTGCCAGTTTTTGTGCCTATCAGCGGCATTCTGCGCAGAAGCGATATCTTCAGTATAACTGGCCCGTCGTGGCAGGCTTGAAAGACACGGTGGTGCAATTGACCGGTGTCACTGAGCAAGATTTCGACACCCGCCGGTACATTTTTCTGCATCCCGTCTTGATTGAAACCTCATGCGTGCCGAGCTTCATCCCTGATGAGTTCGCAGACGTGATCTTGCACTCTGACTTGGGGGGCAAAATCTATGTGAAGGATATGCAGGCACAAGAAGGTGTTAGCTCACACAGACCACGATATGGCTACAACTTGAAGCAGTTCAGTGTAAAATCACGGGATCGGCAAGATACTCTTTGCCATGACGAGTTGTTGCAGCAGATTGCCATGGCCTGGTCGAAGATCTTGCGGGCGGCAACCCCCGCGGACCGGAGGTTCCTGCGGGGAAAGCTTTATGACGCTCTGAAGGATCATCCTGACAGTATGGAGGCGGAATCGATGTGTGAGGCTCATGATGCTGCAATGGGTCATATCTGGGGACATCTGCAGGAGGAGTTTCAGGCCCGGCATGGCCACGCCGGATTCCCTGTGGTACATGAGGATGCTGAGGCATGCAAAATCATAACAGACAAGCTCAAGAAGACGCCAGTCCTCGTCAGCAGCAGACTTTTTGGCTGCCTGGCTGCCGCAGATGCGAGGTGGGTCTGCTCAGCCGAGCAAGCTTGGCATACAGAGCGTTTAAAAGCTGTTCGGCACTGCCAACCAGAAAGCCTTGATGTCGAACCATATCCGACAATAGTTCGAGTTCTGGAAGCTTCCGTTGGCAAAGTTCATCCGCTACCGAAACTTAAGCTGGTCAGTACCAGGGTGCTTGATGAGGTCTCTGTGCTTGACTACGGCGGCCTCGCAGCTTTCGAACTGAGAGGCTTCGAAGCTGTGGGCCAAGCACATTTGTGTGGTACATACGAGGAATGCAGAAACTGTCTCGGGCATGGCAGGCCAATATTTAAGAAACGAGGTGGATCAAGCGGAGATCTCTACATCTTTTGGACCAATGGGTGGTTGCTGTCCGGAATGCCGCTAGAGTACTTGCACCGCTGCACCTATCCAGGGAGATACGCGGATTGTCTTTATCAGAACTGGTGGGGAGAGAGCTGCTGTGACTGGAGTGTGTGGGATGGATGTGCATGGAATGCCTGTATCACCACCGTCAAGCCGGTTGGAAGCTCCAGAACTGGACGGATGAAACAGTCGAAGCTCATCCTAAACGCACTGGCTATCAAGGACCTGTTGCAACCAAGCAGCAGCGAAAATAGAAAGGGCTGGGTTATCCGATTGTTCAACATGCTCTTCGATGCCGTGCTCCATGATTTCAAGCATGTCGCAAAGCTGCAGCTCCCACCTGCGATAGAGCGAGAAGCACAAGAGTCACTTATGGGAGAGATGATGGACCTTGATCTACACACTTTCCAAAGACATGTTGACAAGCTGCTTGGTGTTGATAGAGCCTCTGTTATCAGAGGACGACTCACAGAATGGCTAGAAGGAGATAGCGATGAAGAGGACGCAGACGATCCAGTAGAGCAGCACGCGCGCAAATTGATTCGAGAGCAGATTGAACTTGGTGTCCTGCGAGTCAACCCAAAATACAACGACAGCTTGGCTTGGGTTGGCGATGCAGTCTTGGATGCGTCTCTCGGCTTGCTTGGTGTAGAGAGTGGATTGCGACCAAGAGAACTCGATCAGCTCCGTCAGAGACTGTTTTGCACAAAGCGCATGAGTTGTGATGTTAGTGCCCTCGGCTGGAAGAGGATACGAGAGGCCGCGGAACGTCGAGAGCAGAGAGTTGGGGAGCTCACCATGGAGCAAAAAGCGGAGTTGACCCGGATTTATGATCGGATCTTGAGCAATGCCACAGTTCCCCGTGCGGAAGACCCCGTGCGGGAGCATTCCTTCTTGTCCGAGATCAGGATGTCTGTCAAGGAAGCTCGCGCATCCGCCTCCAACATCGCACTTCGCACGAGAGAGTGGCTGGACTACAGTGATGGTGGTTCCTATGCCAACAAGACAGAACCTACTGCTGGCAACGATGTAACATACATTCCAAAGCTTGTGGTGTGTCATGGTTTTCTTCATGGCACATGCCGGCATGGACTTGCGGCAAAGCCCATCCTTGTAAGTTTTTTCAGCGGAGTGCTTGCAAGCATGGCAGCAGCTGCCGCTTTGACCACGTGTCCTGTCCAGAGATCGCATGGTGAGAGGGTCACACCTCAAGTTATCCTGAACTGCTGAGGGCTCGCCAACGGTTCTCTGAAGATGAACTTCCAGGAAGTCATCGGACAGGAAGTTTTCGTCGTGCACAAGCATTCTGGGCCACTAGTGGCGTGCGGAGTTGTTGGGTAGGCCAGGGGCAGCTTCGTCAGTTTCTCAGGGCACTCCGCCGTGCTCATTGCTGTAATGCTGACGTCCTCATGAACAGAGAGAGCTTCCTGACCTCGACCTGTGAGTGGCTTAAGGCTTGCAGGAGAGGTCGGGAAAGTCTTTGCCCGCCGGAAACTTTCGGCCCGCCAGGGGGGGGGGAACTTAGGGTTCTCGCTGTAGGCCCGGATGGAGGCGTGAACCGGAAGAGCTTCGCAGGTGTATGTCAGTTTCTGTCCCAGTGTTTCATCTCTAATTGCGCCTTTTGCTCCCTTTGCGCGGTGTGTGGGCTCAGAGTTGAGAGGAGTTTTGTCTAACACTCTATACACGACTAACGAATGCACAGGTTGTGAAGAAACGAGTTGGCTTCGTTGACTGACTACCGGGCTGACCTAGTTAGGTTTTTCTTTATAGACTCTGAGATGTCTACATATAGCGCATTTTTGTTATGCAGATGTATGCGTAAGCAAGGGGCAGCTTTGATGAGCAATTGGAGCCTTGTTGATCCATCACGGCATCACGGCATCAACATCAAATTGCAGACAGAGTCCTGGGTCATTGGTCCTGTCTAGGGTCTGGAAGTGCTGCAACGCTCCCGGTCCCGGACAAGAGCTAGATCTGGTAGAATGCTTCGGTCTGGTTGTAGTGGCGCTCATTCCAAGTCATGCCAATCTCTTTCATCACCACGGTGCCAGCAATCAGAACTCGGCCCCCGGAGCGTGGCCAGGGGGATGCTCTGGAATGCTCATGAATGCTCTTTCTGCCCAAGCAGAACCCTAAACCCTAAACCCTTAGGGAAAAAACCCCTTTAAAAAGCCCTAAACCCTAAACCCAAAACATTCAGCCAGGAGAGGCTGCTTGCCAAGATGGAGGATAAGTTTGTGGCCGAGACGGTTGCTGTGATGCACAGCACACATGGTCATATTGATCTGCTCGAGAAGAAATTTCTCGAAGAACTGTATGAGCAGTGCCACGTGTTATCCCAGTTCTTCAAGCCTGCAAACCTCGCTTCTGCCTCGACTATGGTGGTGCAAGATGTGGTGCAGCAGATCAAGGACCTCCTCATCCAGGACACAGGCGATGGAGGCATGGATGATGCCAAACAGGTTAAAATCCAGCTTCTCGAAGTACTCTCGAAGCTTTCGGCGCTTCAGTCAATCGGCACTGAACTTTCGTCAGTGCATAAGCTTCTGAACGCTCATGATGGGGACTTTGGGAAACTGGCTGGAATCTTCAACAGGACGACGGAAATCCATGGGCTGCTCTTGCAGCTGAATGGCGATGCCTTGACACCCAAGGCCCTGTCGGAAAACATGGATCGTTTGAAGACAGGGATTGAGCGAAAAGTTGAAGACCTGACGGAAAAAACTGCAGTCATCAGGGCCTTGATGGACCAACACAGGGACAAAACGATTTCAGTCGTGAAGGACAACACAGGATGGATCTCCAAGAATCTGTCGGATGTCCTGAGTCTCTTGCGCAACATCTGTCCACAACAACAAAAGATGTTGGAGATGATCGGAGCTGGCAGGGAAGCTTCGGTTACAGCACAACAGACGTTGATGAGCTGCGCAGAGACGGTTCAGACGTGTGAAGACCGGCTGGTGAGATTGGAATCCCTGTCAACAGGGGTGGTTGACCAACAGAATGAGATGGACCAGAACCACCGACAGGCTTTCGATTGCATCATGCAGGAGCTCCCCGCCATTCAGGAGATTTTGTCTCGCCTTCCGAAGCTTCCTGTGAGGAAACCACCAGCGGAGCGGCCGGCCGAACAACAGTCTGGCTCCAGTGCGAGTCAACACCCAACAACGCCGCCAACGACACTCGGACCGCAGCCTGCCGCACCTGTGCCTCAGACACAGCCTGCTGTGCAGCCGACAGTCATCCCGGTGTCCTTGGACACGAGTGCTCCGTCGGCTCCTCCAGGTGGCATTCAACTCAGGTTGTCAGAGCATGTGGGAACATTGAGCCCGCAGCCTCAGCCACAGTTCGTCTTGGGCGGAGAAACTCGCCCCAACTTCCTGATCACGCAGATCCCGTCTTCGCACACAGCCTCCGGAAGTGACCTGCTTAGGGCCATGCTAAATCCCCGCCAATAGCTTCGCTAGGTCTGGCTTTCCCGGTAGCCCGGCTCTTCCGTTGCCTAATTGACTAAGTCTGCTTTAGCTGTTGTCTACAGCACCACGAAAAGTACGATATCTGTTTCCTTAATTGCATACTGCCACCACTAATTTATTTAATCACTGCAAGCCTGCATGCATGCCTTAATTCTTTGCTGCAAAACTAATTTTTAATTTGCTGCTCGGCCATGAATTGGTAATTCATAATTCAAACTGGTGGGCTGCTCGGCAGCGCGTGTACATTCTGTTGCAGATCGGAATAGCTCTTCGAGCTTGGTGGCAATTGCTTTCTGGGAACCAGTACCATAACATACCGAATCGCCTTGGCGTCAAAAGTCTGAAGACTTTGCCCGACGTGTGCATTTTCACTGAGCGCAGCATGCAGCACACATGTATCATGTCATGCACTTTTGCAAACATGTAACATGTTGAGCGCAATTGCAGCCGTGAGTGTGCACAGGACACAGCCTACTTGTTTCGTGCTTCATGTACATTGCCAGTTCATGAGTGGCCATTGAGGCTTCAGCACGGGGACAACATGAAAAGAAGTCGTGACCAGAGCTTTTCTGACTCTCCGTCATCCTCTGAGACAGACGAACATGCAGCAGCCTCCAACCCCCAAGCCACGGTCCCTACACCTATGCCCCACTCTGATGCTGAGGGACCAAAGGATGAGTTTGGGATGGATGCACAACCGGATGCTGTTGAATCAAATCATGAGCTTGTGGTGAATGTCTCCGATGTTGAAGATGACGATGATTGGCATGGCATAGACAGCTCGACTCGTAGAACCTTGGCACTTGCCCTAGGGGTTAACCTTTGCTTTGCTCCAGTTGAGACACTGGCGTACACTTTCCTCTGTAAGAATCAACGGGGCCTGGACATTACTAAAGACCAGCTTCTTGAAGTATGGGATGCCATCCCTAGGAGAAGCATTTTGAGGGATGGGGATGACAGCAGAGCACGGATGCTGGTCTTAGGGTCAATCCTCGTAATACCCGAGTCCTTTCCTCCGCCACCAATAACATGCCCCATGTACATGACTTATTTCGGAACTATGTTTCACAGATTGACCCAACCTTCAAATGGTCGTGTCTTTGCATTCGCCAGGATTGCACTCGTGGGCCACACAGAGACACGCGCAATGTAGGCAATAATCTTGTCATTGCTTTGACGAGTCATGTAGCAGGAGGAGGTTTGTGGCTTCACGACCCCAAGGGGACTGTCTATGTCACACACCAAGGTAGGCGACTGCCAGGGGTTGTTCACGACCTTCACGCTCCCTGCGTTTTCCATGCTAGATCGGTTCTCCATGCGACACAACCTTGGAGCGAGGCTAGAAGGGTCGTATTGGTAGGGTTTACACCTATTGGTACGCTTGCCCTACAGGATCCTACTGCACCCCGACAAAACACACAGAGACAATCGAGGATTTCGGACTTCTTCAATAGTACCAGCCTCGTGGACTGAGATCATCACAGACTCCTTTGCAAGCCTGCATGTATGGTTGCAACAATCGCCTCTGCATGTAATTAGATTGCTTTGGAAATTCGGAATTCGGAATTGATTTTGCTTGAATTTGGAATTTGGGAGTTGTGCTGATTTTCATTTCTTGTGTCCTCTGTTGCTTCGCTGGGGGTTTGGAGTTCTGGGTCTCTTTCTGTAGAGTCTTTTTGAACAGTGGCTCGGGCATCTCGGCAGCTTGGCGGCATTACTCCCCAACACCCACGTCACCACAAAACCCTTAAAAACCAGAAAAAGGTGACGCAGATGAGATGGAGTGGATGCTGATACCTGCTTGCCCATTATTGCTCTGCCACAACACCAACACATTTTTCCCTACTTTCCGCCTCCATGAGTAGAGAGAGAAGGGGTCCTGCCTTGCGCACGGCTTTAGGGTTGGTTTGGGTTCTCTCCCTCTCTTCTTCTTCTGTGTGAAGGGTCAGGAATTGAGGGTCTTTCAGTTTCGGCACCTCTCTTGGGAGAAATTTTCGACACCGCCATGGCCCCGTGCCTCTGACTTGCACTTCTGCTGCGACTGACTTTTGTGGGATTATGGCTTCTTGAGTGATGGCCTGGGCAATCTGACTGTTACAACAGAGCGATAACCATCTGGAGGTATCTTGGGTATCTCTGCACGACGTTCTGGGGAACTTGACAGCTTCGACGACGAGCCCAGATACTGGATACCCAACAATCTTGACATCCCCCTGTCGGTTCAATGTCGCCAAAATACTGTGTTTCTGGAAGCAGTCACACGCTTGAATGTGAAGCTTTCGGATCACTTCGTGTGCAATGTTCGGAGATATGTCATGTGGCTTTGGCCGAGTCGTGCCCGCACCAAGTTCGACAACTGACAGACTGTTTTTGCTGTGACGTTGCGATTGGCTCCAATTGCAGGGAGTGGGCAAACCGCTACCTATGATTGTGGCCCATCTAGACACCTATGGCGATCCTTCTTCTGTGATCTTGTCCGATTGCGCGCATTTCGTGGGAGTGCTGTGAGTTGTGCCGTACGTGTTCTGAGTGGGTGAGTTTGGCTTGGGCAGTGAGCTGGGTGCATGAGTCTGCAGGTGTTCGCACTTAATTCGTAATTGGTTTTTGTACTTGGTACATTCATGTGCTTCCTTTGGCATTTTGCAACAACATAGGGTCACTTTGTGATGTCATGGCGCATTTCCTTTCCCTGCGGCGTAACGCCATTGGGCATTTGCCAATCACGCATCTGCCCCCTTCGTACAGCCCCTTTGC